CTCCTGCAACTCGAGCACATCAGGCCCTGCTGCTGGCTGCAGAAGGGGGCAGTGGGGCTGCGTGCTCAGCCAGAGCTGCCCAGCCTACCTGGGGGAAATCTCCCCAACAACCAACCCTTGGTGGAGGCTGGATCCAAACTGGAGCTGCTGGTCTCTGGTGGTGGCAAACCCTCCAGGACAGCAACATGCTGCCGCCTGGGTTCACCCTCCTCTATGGGAGAGAAAGGGAACCCGAGGCAACAGCATGAAGCTGCCTCAGGACAGGTTCAGGTTGGGTGCTGGAAAAAGGTTCTTAACCAGCGAGGGGCTGCACACTGCAGTGGCTCTCCAGGGCAGCAGTCATGGCCCCAGGCCTGCTGGATTTTAAGGAGCGTTTGGACAAGACTCTCAGAAACGTGGTTTGAATTTTGGGTGGTTGTGTGCGGAGCGAGGAGTTGGATTCAGGGATCCCCAGGGATCTCTTCCTTCAGGCGATTCTATGGCTCCATGGGTGCTGGCCAGCCCTGGGCACCCCACAAACCCAATATTAGCACCAGCCTTGGCCCTCAGAAGACCTACACTGAGGTCAGAGGGCTTTTCCCACAGGCAGGGAGCACACAGCCAGGGCAGAGGCCTGCTGAAGGACCAGAGAGAGCGTGCCATGGGGCTGCACCCAGGGGGTCTCCCTGCAGACAGCACCGTCCGACAGCGCCTGCAGGCTGTGGCACACGGGGCACGGTGAAAGAAAGGAATTTCTGTATAAATCCCATTTACCAGCGGGTTTCTCACTTCCCCTCCAGCAGACAATCCCAGCCCTCAGAGTGCTGCTGCATGAAGAGACCGTTTAATATATTTTTGGAAGAGGGGAAAAAAAAACCCTCTCTCAAAAGAGCCTCTTTCAGCTAATAATGAAGTGAATATTATATTAAGAATGAAAACATATTCAGGGTAACTTACAGAGGGAGACAGAAAACCTTTTCATAACACCCTGGCCACAAACACAACTGCCAATTAAACCAGCTTCGTTCCCCAGCCTGTGCCAACACAAACTCAGGGCAGGGAACTGGGTGCCCGCATGGCCCTGGCCAGGCAGCCAGTGCTGCTGAGTGGTTTCCAGGCCTGGCTGCTGAAATAAAAAGGGCTCAAGGCCTTAAGCAGCCCAGCCTGGGGCTGCCCCGCACTACGGGGCTCACGGCTGAGCAGGGAACGGGCTGCAGTGATGGGCCACAGGGTGCTCAGTACATGGGAGTGTGCCTGCTGTCCTTGGGAGCGTGCCACGCTGCAGGGCTGCTGCAGTGAACTGGGGTAGGGAGGTGCTGAGCAGAGGTCACCAGCCTGGGGCTGGCCACCAAGGCATGGCAGGAACACTGGACAGGTGATGGCCATACCTCAGCACCCTGTGTCCCCCCCCAGTGCCCACCAGTGATGGGGAGATGTGCCTGCAGGGCTGAGCTTGGCGCCCCCATCACCACCAATGCCTGTGGGTTCCCACGTGCCCTCAACGTTCCGCCTCATCTCCAGTTCTGCCAACCCATGCTTTGTAGAGCTGTTATGGTTGGAAAAGACCTCTAAGGTCACGTAGTCCAACCACCCACCTACCACCAGTACTGCCCACATCCCTCAGCGCCCCACCCCCACGGCTCTGGAACTCCTCCAGGGATGGTGACCCCACCACTCTGTGGGCAGTTGTGCCACTGCTTTTTGGAGAAGTTTTTCCTAATATCCATCCCTAACCTCCCTTGGTGCAATGTGAGGCCATCACCTCTCATCCTATCGCTGTCACCAGGGAGCAGAGGCCGACCCCCATTCCCACCACCTCCTTTCAGGCAGCTGCAGGCAGCAGTGATGCCTCCCCTGAGCTCTGCCCCACTCTGACCCACCCCAGCTCCCCCCGCCGCTCCCATCAGATGCGTGCTCCACAGCCCTCACAGCTCCGTTCCTTCTCTGAACACACTCCAGGGCCTCCACGTCTTTCTTGCAGTGAGAGCCCAGCACTGAACGCAGCACTGAATGCAGCCTCACCAGGGCCGGCACAGAGGGACGGGCAGCTCCTGCACCAACCCAAACGTGGCAGAGCTGTGTGCACAGCCCACACGTAGCAGCGCGGGGCCATCAACGCCACCAACACACTCCAGGGTTAGAGCACTGACTGCCACCACTGCAGGCAGCGGCAGGGGCACGGTGCCCACAGACAGCCTGGGAGCTGCATGGCACACACAGGAGCAGGGGCTGTTACACACAGCTCACATCAGTTTGATCCTCACCTCACAGCCCAAGAAACCAAAGAGACAGGGAGACGTGAGGGCACCCAGCATCTTGGGCTCAGATTAAAGCTGAGCACACCCAGGCTGGGAAAACATCATACAATATCAGATAATATTTTAATTGCTCGGCAAAGTTCAGAAGCTGCAAGTTGACATTAGATAAACCCAAACTGGAAATACAAGACCATTTCTGAGCTGTGAGAGGTAACCTGCCTTTGGAACGGTTCCTCCACCAAACACCCTGAAGATATTTGTCAAACTATTTAAAGAAAGGAAGGGGGGGGGGGGGGGGGGAAGAGGGGAAAGTGGCTTTTGGGCCAAAAATAAATATTTCAGTAGCAAATTTCTCAAAGGCCCACATTTTCCCGTTAACAATCAGAAACTGTGTTTCTTTGTGGAAATTTTTCTGTTTTGCTCACGGACTTGTATTTCTGTTCTAATGCCAACTAAAGATGGTAACGCATTTTTGATCTTGCCCAGAGATGGAAAGTTTTATTCTTTTTCTTCAAGAGGAATAAAAGCAAAATAATAATAATAAAAAATATCAGCAAAGTCATTTTTCACATTCACCTTGCATAGAAAAATTGCAGAACTCCAAAATTCCCTTCAACAAACTCTAGCTGACAACTCGAAGTCTTTAATACCTCAGTAAACCAATCTTCAAGCTAGAGACGGCCTGCAGGTCAGATGTGGTGGGGCTGGGAGGTGGTGTGGGACCTGCAGCCCCCGTTGCTGCAGCACTGCAGCGTGCTCAGCTGGCAGCCAACAGGAGCAGAGATTTGCAGGAATCCCTTTTGGGACACAGTGAGTAATCCCATCCAGGTCTACTTATGCATTTAAATGCCTGTGCCTTGGATGGTGCCTTTGGTGATGCGTTTTGTCCATACACGTTTGGGGAGCAGCGCGTTGTGCCTCCACCAGATCTCCCACTTACGCTGCTGTGCCAATTTCCATTTGCAAATCCGCTCCAATGGATGCCGTCCTCCCCCGACCCAGCAGCCCAAAGCCAGCAGCCAAGTGCAAAAACGTCAGGATGCTGAGGGAGCTCCGAGAGGCACGGCAACCTTGAGCTGGAGAACTCTGCCACACGTCTGCCCTCAGGTCTCCCATCTCATCCTATCTGTCATGAAACACAATCCTCTGCTTCACATTGGAAACTGGCATCAGCTTCCAACGCAAGGAAGCCAGTGGAGCAATCTGTGCAGAAAAGGACTACTATCCATGATAGAGCCCATCAAAAACAAACCCCGGGATTCCTGCCGTGCTGCAGTATTACGAGGGAGGCATTGCCATCTAGTGTCGGCCCTGCAAAGAGGAACCAGCAAGGCGCTGGTGCTGGGAACCAAAAGGGGACGGGACATGGCAAGGCAAGGACAGCACACAGGGCTGCTGTGCCGTCTGTGGGCAGAGCAGCTGGAAGCACACACACGGCTACAGGAACCCAAACACAGGAAAGCAGCCACGCTTCTCCAGTGAAGCCCAGGCCTGTCACCTGCCAGGGCTCTGAGCTGGGCAGCAGCTCAGTTACAGCCTTCCACGCAACGCTTGCTTTTTTCAGTTGTGTGTTATCACTGCACATCAAAACTCCTGCAACGAGATGAAGCCCTGCACTCTATAATTAAGATAATTAGTATTATAGAACTCTCCTTCCCCTCCACCTTCCTGTTTATACTCTTGGAGGCTTTTGGAAAAAGCTGGTCTGACAAAAAGCAGTATTAATCAGCACAGAGGAACGGGCAGCTCCTTATGTTCTTAAGGAAACCATAAGAAACCCAAAGCCCACGTTCCCCTTTGATCTGCTTTCCTCCTGCTAAGCAGTGTGGCAGGATCTGAGCACCCCTCTCAGAGATCAAGATGGTTCTCCAGAAGCACAGAGGACTACAACAGGCAGAGAGCTCCAAAGTGTGCTTGCAGGCTGCTGCCAACTCAAGATTTCCCAACTGTTGGGTTTTTTTTTTTCTTTCTTTTTTTTTTTTTTTTCCTCTCCAGTATGTCCTACCAAGAGGGCATTTTATTTTAAGATACCATCAGAGCGTGGTGGTATTGAGTCCAAAAAGCCATAAAGATGTCGGCAGAACTGGGGAAAACAAGAGCACTTCAGACGTTTCTCTCCTGGCAAGAGGCCACCTTGGAACACACACTGACCACAGGCAACTCTCCCTGCCCTGCAAGTCAACAACAAGGCACTGAATTATGCTTAGAAGACATTATCCAAACTAGTCAAACACGGATGGGAGAAATATCACTAAAACAGTGTTCTGTGTTACCAGGTTCCTTCTTTGCAGAATCCACGTGGCTTCTTGCAGCTTCTACACTGCCTCGCTGCCACCTCACCAAGAGGTTTTGCATTTATCAGCTCAGCCGTGCCTGCGTTCAGAATGATGCAGGGGGAACACGGCGTGTTCTGCTCCAAAAGGAAACCAACTTGATCAACGCTAGTAAAGTCAGCAATATTTGAAGGGGAAAAGATGGTATTCTGAGGTAATTTGAAATATAGTATTAACACTCACTGGAATGTTCAGCCAAAACAAAGAGCATAGCATGCTGTTGCCCAAGCAGTTAGCTGCATTAACAAACTGGACTCTATTTCCAAATTCCAGTTCCTTACACTGAAAGAGACATTAATCACTCTTGCACAATAAACTGGCACAAGTCCTGCCAGCACTAGTTCTCAGATCGGTTTATTTTCTCAGAACAAAAACAATATTAAACATAACCTTTTAAAGAACAATCTGTATAAGCAATACAAAACCTCATGGCATCCTACTTGTACTTTCAGATTCCCTTAAAGCAGCCCATAATCTGCAAGAGGTAGGATGTCAGGAACGTTCAAGGAATGTTCATGGAAGAATAAAGGGCTCGGTTCTTCTACAAACAGCCCTAGAATTGCTAAATAAACCAAATTCAGGAAAACCACGCTGTGCACACACCACGAGGACCTCCACGTCGTGCTTCTCCCAAAACACACAGATCCAACATCACACCCTCCACATGCCCAGGGACAGGTCTCCTTTTTGCCCAAGGACCGTTCCTTTTGTCAGCTGGAGAAGTCCTAGGATAACAAAGACTACAGTCATCATTCCCACAGGAAACGCTGTACGTGTTACTCCATTGCAGCAGCTCCAAACATTGCTAGCACGTCTCTACAGTGCCCCTGAAAGAGTCATCCAAGAGTTCTGTAGATCAGTGCAAGTGGATCAGGCACGGTGGCGTTCCCATAAAATTAATTCAATTTCCTCACTTTAGACTTGTAAGAAACTGAGTGTTAAGTAATAAGAATTCAAAAACAGCAAGCTCACTGCAAAGAGCCCAGAAGGGCCCTTCAGGTCATCTCCCTTCCCATACCGGGTGACCCATGATACACACTAGCCTGCATTTTTCCAGCTGCCTTCTGAGAAGCCTGGTACCTGGACGTTTCCTCTTTGGCTTTGAGAAGCCAGTCCTCTTTCTCCCAGATTCACCCTTCCCCTCTGAGACTTCTATTGCTTCTCCCTGCACCTTCCTCCCTTGGTCAAATCATTCTTTGCAAGGGCCATTACCTCCAGGAGGCCCAGCCACAACATGACAGCACGTGCAGCGTGCCAAGGAACACAGTGCTCCCAACATTTTGCTCTTTGCTAGCACCCCTCACCCACCACTCTCATTTGTATTTGGGTCTTTACCAGCCCTGGAGTCCAGGCACACTCTAAGATGGCAGAGCCTGCCCCCAGAAAAGCCTCCATCTCTCACCTGCAGCTCCCACCCCACCCATCCAGCTCTTTAAGGTCACTGGAAGGAAAGCAGTATCTATGCACAGGTTTTCTCTGGATATAAGCCAGACCTACCCCTAAGCTGTGATTTTCTTTCCTCTATATTTCAAAGGGGAACCTCTTGGGTTCAGTGCTCATCACTCAGATCTGCCTCACAGATGTGGCTACAATTCCACAGCACTGACCTTACTACCAAAAGCTCACCTGCTTCTCCAGTGCCTCTTCCAACCACCCTGTCCCTTTGCAGAGAGCCCCAGCACCTCCTGCTCCCTGGCCTGAGATCACTCACAACAGAATCCTGACAAGTTCCCATGATTTGTCTCAGTGTAGATGATACTGAAACACTGCTGAGAAGTCAGATTCATCCCTCCAGCATTTATAGGTTGAACAGTGGAAGGAAAGGAAAAAATTAACACTAATATAAAGACAAAATCCTTGGAACCTTCTCCATAAGGTAACTCATTATCTGTTTCCTACAGAAGTCCTGAGAGTCACCAGGAAGATGTACATCCCCACCACCTTTCAGTTCAAGAATTCTGGCAGCCCAGTCCAACTTCTGCTGCTTTCTCAGGAGCTACAGCCTCTTGAGCTTGTTCAGCCAGCTCAGATGCAACGGTGATGTCTGCAAATTAAAATCAAGTTACTAGCAGCAAAATAAGGAAGCCTGCTCCTGAGGGGATATCAACTTACAGAGTGCTAACCAGAAGGCTAAAAAGCAGTCACAGGAAAACAGACATTTACCTGCTAAAAGATAAGGCGGCAAAACACCACACGATGCTCAAAATACAGACCTCACTTTATATTCTTGGAAAGCAACTATTTTGCTCTTGCACCACAGTATCACAGGACAGTTAAGACTGCAAGGAATTGGTCTCCAGTCCATAACATGTTCATAGCAGAGCGAGCTGTGAGATTGATTGGGTTACCCACTTTACCCCAACGACCTTGAAGAATCCGGGCTTCATTCAGCCAGTATGCTCAGAGCCCATGGCTCACATGACCCAGCCAGAAAAGAGTCCACCCCTATCTGAGGCTGCCCCCAAATACACCTTGGGATAACAAAAGGATCATGGAGTCACAAGGTTGGAAATGACCTGCAAGATCACCTAGTCACATAGAACAGCGAAGCAACTTTCAAGACTGTCATAAATACACCAGCAGTAGATTGCTAGCCTAGCACAAAATAGGATTCACAGCATCAAGAAACAGCCACCACCATCACAGTCACCACCCTGGTTCACTCAGACTCATGAAATCCCATGTTACAGCCCCATTTTTATCACCAAACCTTCCAAAAATCAAGAGCTTGCTGTGAGTAGCTTGTGTTACACCCAGCTTTGGGCTGGCAAGTTCTATCAAGCACCTACCCTAACCAGGAGAATGGGGAGACAAAGTTTATTCAGAAAGAGAACTACTAGAGGGCCCTGCAACTGATCTTCTCTTTGAAAATTGAAGAGATAAAAATGCTGAAGTCATTTCTCCATTTCACAGCAGTTGTAGCAACTAGGATAAGGAAAGAAAGGTTTCTCACGTGAACAAAATTCCTTAACTTGTGCTGTGGCATCCTCTGCTTTATTAGAGAAAAGCATCTTTGCTCCTGTTAAAATGCAACCGACTGCTCTGCTACTTGTTAGTCTAATACTGTACCCACACAGCACTTCCTTTCATGTGTCCCTGATAGGCATACTTAGAAGATAATCACTTGATGTTTCCGCAGGCTGTTAGTTGTGGTTGGGGTGTGTAGCTGGGTCTAAAACCTACAGCTACTGAGATTTCCTGTGCACCAGGAAAAACAAAGGATCAAACTGCCAGGCTGCTGGTTTCATGGCTGCTATTTGAAGCAGTAAGAGTCTTTACACGGAGCTAATTAAAAATATGTATATATATTCAATCTGAAACCCTAAAGCCATCTCAAGGAGCGTTTGATCAGTTCACCTCTTCCATGTGCACCTGATGGCGACGCAGCCAGAAGAGGAGCGGAAGGGAAGCGCTCAGCCCTGGAGACGCAGCGCGCTGGGCGGCGTTCAAAGCCCCCACAGCTCCTGCAGGTAGAGGAGCCGCACGCTGCAAGCAGGGCTCCGCTCCAACGTTTGTTTCCTTCCCTTAAAAGCAGGTTGGCAGCAGCTCAGCCACACGCAGCAGAAACGCAGGCGCTCGCTTTGAAGTTCAGACAGAAGTCTGTCGCTACCAGCTATTTTAATTCATGCTTGGGAAAGACAAGGCAGCTGAGCCTCGATTTACAGCAAACAACATGCCAGGTCACAGGTCATTCATAATCACAATCGCCTTTACTCTGCATCAAAGCCATAATTAACTGTTAATGTTTAACTAAGGCTTTAAAATTTGTTTAAGCTGCTTTCTTGCATAAAGCACCGTGGCTATCTCCTTCCCAGCTGAGTCTCCAGAAGAGCTGTATGAAAGCACTTGTGTAGGCACCAAGCACAGCAGGCAATATTTATGCCAAAGCATGGGGAGGCTGGGAAGAAGCTCCCACCAGTTCAGCCCCTGGGAAACCCACACTTTGAAGCAGCAGCTCCTAACTGTGCTCATAACCTCAGTGCAGCAGCAGCTCCTAACTCCTAACTCATAACCCCAGTGAGAAGGCACTTCTCAAGAGAAGCAGTCGAGTTGTCGGCTTTGTGGAGGGCAGACAGGCCGGGAGGTTGGTCTGGCTGATCCATCCCAGAGCCAGCAGCTACCTGCAGAGAAATGCAGCCTCCAGGTGCTGCCAACACAAAGCAGAACATCTCACTTTCAGCACTTCAGCTCAAACTTTGTGGTCGCTACAGGGAAGAAAAGAAAGCTTGACTTGTTAATCGGGAAGGCAGCACGTCTTAACTCCAGCACTCTGGAAGAGCACGTTACACGCTCACTTTTGGAGCATGGATCAGCAAAGAAGCTAAAACCTTCTTGAACAGCAATTGCCTGAGAAGTGCACTTCATTCAAGACCTGACAAGTCCAAAAAGAACTGCCACTCCGAAATGACAGCCTGGAGGAAAACGGCTGCCACCGAGAGGTGAACGAGCTCCTTCTGAAAAGCATCATGTGGAGCCCACAAGAGGTTACTGACATGCTGCAGCTCTTCTGAAGGCAAGAACAAAGCCTAGCTACAGCCTGCTTGCTATCAGCCCGCTGATAACAGGATGTACTGGGCAACCCACCCTGACAGGACGAGAAGAAAGGGCCATCGACACCACCAGGCTATCATGGTTTGTCAGGACAATTATTAGAGGGAATGCCACACATCACCATCACTGGTGCACATTCAGCACGCCTTCAGAAAGTTACCTAATTAGGACACCACTTGTCTACTGTCTGTGCAAGCAGTTCTGCAGTCAGCCATACACCATTTGCCTCACTCAGATGTAATGTAGGGATGTCCAGCTGTTAGTGCTTCAAGTGGACTCACTTTCACAGCCAAGTGAAGCCTACCTTCAGGTAGCACACGAGCGTGCAGAAGCTCAGAGACTCTCCAGGTCGTGAAGAGAAAGATAAGAGAAGACCCCAGCAGCTGCCTGGAACAGCCCACTACAGGTGCAAGCGATGTCAGCACTCAAGGGTGAAGGTACAAGAAGATTCTCTATTCCTTGTTCGTATAATAAAGCCATACAAACCTCCGGTGTCAACTGAACATCTGTGCTTATGCATTTTTTTTCCCTTAGGATATGTTTTTTGCTAGCTGATCCATTATAATCCTCGGCTCTGCAAAGGATCCACCATGAGTCTCCAGCACAGTGTGTAGACAGAGAGTTCAGTGGAAGGAAGAATGAAGCAGACTGTTAGCAACATCTGACTTCAGAGAGATTGAATACTGATGACCTGAATCTAAGGTGCCAGAGAGAGGGTCTGTCAAGTCTGCTCAGATCTACTGTGTGCCAAGGAATCCTAACGCAGAGAAGTGCAGGAAGAGAAGCACTTTCCCAAGCATTTCCAAAAAAAGGAAACCCCTTCAAACAGCACCCAGACAGAGCAACAACACTTCCTCAGAGAGCAAGATGTCTCATAAGAGGGGCAATTACAAGAGGGTGAAAGGAAGGGATGAACTCTTCAACACCTACTTGTGACTTAGGAAGGACTTAATTTAGCAAGCCTGGGCTGAAACTGTTCCTTACAGTAGCTCCCAGTCCTTCAAAAGCTCAAATTTTCATGTCAGTAATGCTCAGCATTCTGTCAAATCACCAGTTCCCTGATAAAGCAGTGTGGGCACTGGGACAGGCACATGAAGGTCACATTTCCCTTACTGCAAATAACTCTACAGATCTGCAAACTGACTCAAAGTAGAGCCAAGGCACTCCTAGTGTC